GAGAATATAATTTTATACTCACTGTTCATCCTCAAAGCTGCCAGAAAGACGTTTGGAGTTTGAAGCCACGGCTGGGGCAGCAAGTGAGGATCGTCCGGCAATGCCAGGGTCCACTTCAAAAGTGACAGATTCAGAGGAGCCGCAAACAGCCCAAACAATCTGGAATATGAAGTTGATTTCATTAGAAGTTTGCACTTTAGGTTATTAAGAAAGAAACAAAGCAAAACAAACATACAGGACTGACTGGCTGCTCCAATGTGCTTCTGTACTCCTTTAATTTACTGAAAAATTTGAGCTCGAGCCCTAGCTCATCTTCTTGAAATATTCTTTTGCTGTGCTCCGGCTTAATCAGCAGCAGCGCTTCGGTGTCGAATACACCACAGCCTACAAAATGATTGCAACACACAATTACTTGAAAACTAAAGACAGCATGATCGATTTGTAGGTTAGATGGGTGCCGCCAAATAGGCCTTGGTAACTAACTACTACAATTCAGCGGTACGACATTCAGGCGTTTGAGTGTACATGGATACGAAACATTAGCGCGAATGACGAAAAGAATAGCTAGATGTAAACCTAACCTCTCATAGGTTCACCAGCAAGTACTAGTTTATAGCCGTTATGTTAGATGACAGCGGAAACTCAACTCACCAGCTAGTCGAGGCAGCAACACCTCCAAGTCCCAGACGCGTAGCAGATCTTCCATTAGCAAAAATTAGCACGTAGAACTCAAGACAACAAGCACCAGCACCAGGCACTGCAGTGGATCGACGAGACGAGAGAGGTTGGAAGAGAACCGGTGGGCGGCTTTTAACTCAGACCCCGCGCCTTTGAATAACGCGTCTGGTCCAGTATTTGCACGACGCGCCAAATTCATACTCTCCGCGAAAGGAACCGCGTAAAACATGCAAGAATGACAAAATCCTTTCCGACACTTTAATGTAGCATCATCGCTGTACTCCCTATTGATTAGTTCCGTTACCCTACTTTGATCGTTACAAATGAAATTTTATTGATAAAGACCAAATTTAGTCATTTCAACACAATGCTTATCTAGGCGCCTATTAACCAAATCTTAGTTTGACATGTTAACCTGAGTTTCCTGCGGATTTAAAATTTAGTCAGAACGACTAAATTAGTGTTCATCTCGAAGGAACCAAACATTTTAGTCCTCTCGACTAAATGGTTTTCTGGGTGTTGTTTCGCACCTCGGACCTCTGGGCTCGGATCCTGACGCCTTAGACCGCGCGGCTGTTGGGACATACCTGTGGTGGGAACGCTTGCACCCAACCTTATGCGGCGCTCCGTCCAGGGACATTCCCAGAGTAGCTATGTGCTTGATCGGACGGCGTATGTTTGTTAACTTGCTTTTTCAGCCCGCCCTTCTGCTTTTAAAAACGCATAAAGCGGGCTTATGCAACCGCTCTCGCGTCCGTCCGTCCGTCCGTCTGTCTGTCGTCCGTGTAAGAGGAAGGAGATGGGCTAGAGGTCTACAAATTTCAGGGTATCTTAGGGGTCACTCCTGGACAACGAAACGCCTGGTGCAAATCCTGGCAACCACCCCTAAGGGGGTGAAAGGGGGTAACAAAGAAATAGGGGTTGGTCCAAAAAGTAGAAAACCATTTTTTTTTGATGGTTTCCTAAGGGGTAACTCGTGAAAGTAGAGCCCTTTGGGCTAAAATTTCGTCCGTTTGCCTCTATCGTGCACCGTTTGGGCACTAGAGTTGTTTTTTCGACGAAAATACGGTGAAAATGACCACGTTGCACATGAAGACGTATAAGGAGGCGTCCAACCGTAAAAAGTCAGAGGAAGCACCCCCCCAAAACAGCATATTCTGAGTCTGATGGTACCCTCCGATTTACCGTATCTTTAACCGTTTAGGAGCCAGAGGTAGATATATTGAAAACATTTGCAAAAAGTCAAGTTTTAAGACTGTTTGACAAACAATATACAATCTACAATATACAATCTGTGCGTGTTCTTTTGTTTTAATACTTAAGCAAAGCAGAAGGGTGGGGTGTAGTCACGGTGTAGCCCCGTTACAGTCTTTTGTCATGTCCAAGGAGCAAATTTCTAGGGCCGCAGGCCCCCCACCGGACGCATTAGTTTACTCAAATATACAAAGTGATTTACGGGTCACATTATTTATTTGATTATGCACTTCGGTAAATCGCGAGACTGAAATGGTCGGGCCGAAGGCCCGACCATCGCCGCCGGCAGGCCAAGCAGGCCCGGCCCCTGCCGAACGGAGTTGCCGGCGCAGCGAAGTGGAGCTGTATTTACGAAACATTTCGTAAAGTCACACACATATTTCATAACAAATGCAAATAATTTTGGGGTCATATGTCATAAAATTTGCCAAATATATGCAAATTTCATACCCCTTAGAGCTTTGGATTTTACGTAGCAATTCGTAACGATGTATCGTAATTGGTTACAAACGAAGTTTTCGTACTAGAAAATTAACTAAGAAAATTGCGTATAATCACGAAATTTATTCTTACAGTGACAGAGAAGTCGTTTCATACCGATTTAGGTCGGTATGCATCGTAACAGGTCGCTACATCCGCTTCTAGTCCAACTTTGGTGAAGTTCGCGATAAATCCGGACCCCTGGAGGGTAGGCAACGCACCCAAAGGCATGGTCTTGCGGTCTGGAAATATAGACTAGTACAAGAGCAACTAATTTAAGCGGATAGGGTCGGCTTGAGCTTGCTCAATTCCCAGATCCAGACTGAAAAGGATAAAAATTGCAACTTTTTCGTTACCAGCAGACAGTCACGGACGGATAAAATCTGAACCACACCACCAACAGCTCGCGTAGACACATATTCTTTTTCAGCACAAAAAGACGATAACGGAGACACCCTTGCCATTAAAATCGGCGCAAAACTTCATGTGTTTATATTGCGCGAAATGCTCTTAAGCCCTGCTTCAAACTTCAAGGGTCTTGCGGAGGTACTTAAAATTGTTTCTCAGCGAAAAGAAAAAATATGTGTTCATTCATTCTTCACCCTCTACTCGATTCTGACCTGCGGTGCCCTCTACGGAAACTTTGAAAAAAAATTGGGCCACCCTACAGTGCGCGTCAGATGACCGAAAATAACGTTATTGATGCTCGTATTTTGGTTACAAAAATTAACGGTAATGTCTTACTTAACGTTAATTCAGTATCGGCAAAAATGGTGAAAGTATATAACCAACAAAAATCGAAACAAATTATCGTTCCGATGAAATAACGGTTATTACTTTATTTTCGTTAATAGTTAAAAGCTGTAACTTTAACAAATAACTCAAATAACATTGAAATGTTACAGTTAAATTATCACACACTGCTCATTGGCTGACACGGACGAAGTTCACGTCTGCGACAGCCCTAGTGGCGAGTCCGAGAACTTCGTCTGCGTCAGCCAATGAGCGTCAGGGAGGAAACAGTTCGGCAAGCATTGGTGTTCTTCTTTGGATCCGGTTTAAACAGGGTTAAATACCCTATTCACAAGCATTATGTGAATTGAGCCAGGAAGCGGAAGAGGGAATTTTCTGACATGACCCTAAAAGTGAGATTTTTAGTGGCCGTCAATCTACAGTAAAACTGGCACAAATGAGTCAAGTACACTTATCCCTATTTCCCTTTAGGTTTTACTTGAATAAGGAGACAAATCGAATAGGGTATTTCAATGGAGCGCTGCCCGGAACTAAGAAGAACAAAAGCGGATACAGAGAGCGTTGGTGGGGGGGAGGGGGAGGAGGAGGAGCGACGGGTGGAGGGGAGCTTCCCCGCCCGACCTCTGCTCCTCCGCGCGCACGCCCCCACCACCGCTCTCTGTATCCGCTTTTGTTGTTCTTAGTTCCGGGCAGCGCTCCATTGAAACACCCTATTGACTCCTGCACTGTTAAAAATATATCGAAATTTTACAGCTGAACATTTTACAGACTTTTGGGAAAAAAAACAGCCCTATCCGTAAAACACGATTTTGGTTGAAGCTGTAGTTTTACGAGGAATGCTGTAATTTATTGACACAGCTGTAAAATTATGGTGGCACTGTAAAATTACAGCGCGGTT